ATCAAAAGAAATCAAGATATACATGTGTTGAATATCAAGACTTCATGCATATTTCAATGAGTGTTACCGATGAAGGGAAGGTAATCTGGTTATGACAGGTAGGTTGCACTGTGAAGTCGACACTGATTTCCTCAATTTTACCTATCCCGATTTCTAAGGAGCAAGGAGGTTTTGTTCATGGAATAAACATATGAGAGTGCAATTGCTTAGCTTCTAAAGCAAACAATATCTTGGACAACAATTTCAAACATGGTAATTTGGATTTTAAAGTGGATATTTCTAAAGCCTTTGTTACAATAAGCTATAATTTTTTGCTCAAAGTTCGGTTTAAGTTTGGGTTTTGTCATCATTTTGTGATTGGACCAGTACTTTTATTTTCTATGCTTTCCTCTATATTAATTTCAATGGAGTTCAACTTGGCTATTTTAAGTGTAAGATAAGGGTGAGACAAGGTGACAATTCCCCCTCCCCCCTCCATTCTTTTCTGTTTGACAGACGATGTGCTTAGTAGAAACATTGCAAAGTTGCCCTATAAAGGTGGATTAGACCTCTCATATCATTTATGAAAATGATATTCTCATCTTATGGTCTGGTAAGATGTCTAACATTCACTCTCCGAATATGGTTTTTAAGGATTACCCTATATCCTAATGTTAGAATCTTAATCTGACTAAATCTTTCATTTATTCTAGTTCTATCTCCAACAATCATTTTAATTAGAGGTGACAATTGAATCCATTAAGGCAAAATCCATCCAATTCATCCATCAAAAAATCCATATAATCCATCCACCACATAAAACATAAGTTAATGGATTGGATTAAATACATCCATTTATATGCATGGATGAATTCGATTCATCCAACATATTTTAAGGATCTAATAGATTATTTTTATTTTCGATAGATTTATTTTTTTTAAAAATAATTAAAAATAGATTTTTTAAAAGAAAAGAATTGATTTTTTTCACAAAAAAAAATCGAATTTTTTTAGAAAAAAAATAGATTTTTTTTTTGAAAAAAATATCTGTTTTTTTCCGAAAAAAATTTGGTTTTTTTCTAAAATAAAAATTGATTTGTTTTTCGAAAAAAAAAACGTTGTTTTTTCCGAAACAAAAAACCAATTTTTTTCTCGAAAAAAAAATCGATATTTTTCAAAAATTAAAATATCAATTTTTTCTTAAAAATAAAAAAAAAATCAATTTTTTCATAAATATATTAAAAAAAATTTAAATACAAAATATGAATTTTTCGAAAATAAAATAAAAAAATATATTTATTTTTTCGAAATAAAAAAAAGTTGGATGGATGGATATCCATCCATTAAAAATATGTTAATGGATGGATTGAATGAATTTTATTCTTAATGGATGGATTTGATTGGATAATTTTAAAAAAAATAGTGGATTGTTAATGAAATAATGAATTGTTTTAATCCATCCATTAACAATCCAATCCATATCCATATAATCCATCCATTTTGTCACCCCTAATTTTAATAGAATCTTCTCTTATTTTCAAGTACCTTGAAGTTACTATTTTTAAAAGGAGTGTCAAATCCACATATCTTCTCCTCATCATTGACAAAATCTTTAACAAACTGTCACCTTGGAAAGGTTCTCTTCTCTATATGGCAGGCAGATTAACCCTGGTCAAATCTACCATTCAAAGCATGATTTCCTATACTATTAACATCTATTCTTTGCATGTGGCTATACTTAGAAGAATTGATTAGGCTTGCCGAAAATTTATTTGGTCTGGGGATATTCACAAAAGGAAGTTGTTCATGGTCCCTTAGTAGAAAACTTACCAACTTTATAATAGTGCCGACCTAGGTTTGAGATCTTTAATTAGAATAAATGAAGAAACTAATCTCAATTTAGGGTGGGACCTATTGAATAACATGGAGAGTTGGTCTATCCTCCTCAAAACGGAATTTTTAAAACAAATGGCATTATCAAATGCCACATTTTTCCTAAATTTGGACTGTTATCAAGACAAAATTTTACAACATTGGCATAAACTTAACCTAGTCTCTTGGTTTAGGGAAAAACATCATATTTTGGACTGACTCATGGTGTGGTTAGCCTTTAATTCAGCGCACTACCATGGAGTTTCTTCTTTTAAAAGGTATTAATTTGAACTCAATCATTTCAGACTTCATTAGAGAGGGTCATTGGTATTTCCCTCATTTTTAGAGTGAATATTTTCCTTCCTTCTCCTATTTGATTTCTCCTACTCCTGCCATCTCTGATAGTCACAAAGACCTTCTCATCTGGAACCACAATTATTATATAGTGCTTTCCCTTAAGGAAGCTTACAATTTGAAGGCTAGGAAGTTTCCTGATCTGGATTGGGTTGTTTTTATTTAGAGTAAAGGCATCCCACCAAACAAGTAATTGCTTGTTTGTAGACTCATGCACGACAAATTTCATGCTAAGACAATTCTTAGGACTAAAGGAATTTTTGTGGCTTCAAGGTATCGTCTATGTAAATCTCTAGAAGAGAGCGCAATTCATCTATTTTTTCAATGTAGTTTTGCTTATAAAGCCCAACATCCAGTAAACGCTTGCTTATATACAATTGTGGCTTAGTATGTGCAATCTTGATAGATCTAACAAAACATCTCTGGTTATAGATTCTTTGATCTTTACTAAGCATGTTGGCATTATACTTAGGGCCAATTCGAGACAAATGGATCAGATAATAGATTCCTTGATCTTTCTAGAATTATTCCTTTTTCTTCTCTACTTTATTTAGCCATTTGATGTAAGCCTTATTTTTAGTAGTGGGAAAGGATCAGAATATGCGGTGGGGTGCACTCATGAACCCTAATTCATAGTTTTTGTCTTGAAACGCTCGGGGTTTGCAGCGACGGTAACAGGGAAAAAACTTCTTTAGTTCGTTAGGTTTTATAGAAGGTCTAGGAAGTGGGCTCAAGAACACACGAACAAAGTCAAAAATAGAGAAAGGGATCAATATCTAAGAAGCCTAGTTTATGGCTTTTTCCACCTCCATTGGTGGTTCAGTAATATAGGTACTATTACAAAGAAAGGTGGGAGCAATAACTTCACAGGCAAGCGAAATTGGAAGTTATTGTGTTGACGAAGAAGAAGAAGAAGAAGCCATTGTTTCTAACGTTTGATGAAGGAACAATAATTTAGATTTTTCAAGAGTTGAAGAGCTTTAGGGTTCTGAGAAAGAAGAAGGCGTGAAAAAGGGAGAATGAGAGAATAAGAGAATAATAATGTATATATGGTGGAAGGAGACATTTCGGTGTCTCTCTCAAACCTGGACAAATTTCACTTTATTTTTCTGATTTAAATTAAATTAAATGATTTCTTTATTGTAAATTCGTTTTGTGACCCACAACGTCCTAGGAAATCAGAGAGGGTTAAGTGCACGTATGTACACTGATGTGACATTTTTTTGAAACGGGGTCATGATGACTATGACGTAAGCAGATTACCGTGAACAATGTCGAACAATTACTAAAAATGTCGCATTTCTTCCATCTTGTGCATATGATCGAAAGTGGAACTTTTGGGAGGGCATCTGTTAGCCTGTAATTTTCTACACTACATTGAAACCCATTAAATATGGTTTGGAAGAGTCTTAGGAGCAGATCCACAAGATTAGGATCACCATCTCACTTCAAAACACGTCCAGAATCTCAAAAAGGGGTTATACAAATAAACACTTTGACATGGAAATGTGATGTAGAAGTGTCGAGTTCGACGCTCTCATCAGATTTCAGGGACTTGGTGTGTGTTTGAATCCAGAGGTCAGTCAAACTAAGGATGTTTCGACAACACTATAGGAATCGACTGAAGATTCTCGATAGAGGCAGTTAGGAAATTTAAAGGTTGTTATCAGCGTAGGTGTTGGTTTGCAGCAGTTCAAACGTTGAAGACGCGTGCAAGCAAACTAGAAGGATGAAGTCCACGTATAGGAGTGTGTGTCGAGTTCTGTAAAGATAAGTGTTATCAACATTTAACATTCTAATAGTATATAAGATGAGTCTAGTCATCTCACGATTTTCAGATACTTTCTCTGTAAAATTAAATTATCTAAGTCATAAAGAAAAATAGGTTGTGAGAAGATGTATGAATCTGCATCATTTCTTTAAGTCTTTTAAATTCAAACATTTAATTGATGACATTTATTATGCTTTTCGATTACTTTCTTTGCCTAAAACAATTATGCATTGTTTCCACCATAGTTTTTATCCAAATTCTTACTATTCAAACATTTAAATTTCAAACACAAACACTTTCCGTCGTACTTTTCTACACAAATGCACAATAGAGATAACTCTTATGTTGATTGTTTTTGCAAATATCACTCTCAACACAAATTCCATCAGACTATTTTACTCCATCCCTATTTAAATTAAGAGTCACTTTGTAAAGAATATATTAAATATTCCGTTCTTTAAAATTCCCTCTTTTTGATATGGCTAACTTAGTTCCCTTTTTTTGCAATCTCTTGGTATCTTCTTTTATTTTTAATATAGTATAAACCTTTTCGAATCTCCAAAAATATATCTACATACACTATACTATTTAATAATGAACGCCTTCAAAAGTTTTAAAATTTCACACGGTTTCAAATAAAAAGAACAATAATCTATGCATAAATTTTTAATAGAATAATCCATGCTTATAAGCTTTAGTTATAATAATAATAATAATAATAATAATAATAATAATAATTACTATATTTAAATGAGAGGAAAAACAAAAGAACAACAACTTAATAAAAATAAACAAACCAAAGAAATACTAATATTTGAATTTAATATATACTGTAATGAAGAATTGATCATGATAGATAAAAGAAATATTACAACTCATCAAGTGCATCTTATTTCCATATATAAAATAATAAATAAACAAAAAGCATTTATAGAAGGACGAGAAAAAAGGGGCAAGAAGATTAAGCATTAAAAAATGCAAAAGGTAAATAATATAATATTTAATAAAAAAAAGAAAGAAAGAATCAGACGTTGATAGGGTTACAGAGGAACATGAGCGACGATGCAGACGCGTCACTGGCAATCATTCCCCCAGCAGCAAGTCTCTCGTAACTATCAATACAAAACAAAGAAAGCGAAAGCTGAACCTCATGCCGAGTCCAAACTCGTTTCCTCACTCGCTCCGACTCACCGAGTCGACTCAGCACCGGCCTTACGCAAACCATGTAAAGCCTCTTGTAACCGCCCAGCGCCACCACGACAGGCCGAATGCTCGCCGGAGGTGGAGTGGACACGTGGCGAAAGCAGAGATGCTCCCAGATGGAATCGTCTTTGGTCGTTAGGTTACACCATAGACGACACACGCAGGATGCGACACCGAGTGAGGGACCGTCGAGGCGTTTGAGGATTTCTCGTAGAATGTCAATGTTGTCGTTTATGAAAAACTTGGTTCGTTTATGGTTTTGTTCTCTTGAAGTGTTTCTTGTAGTTTCTTCATGCATGTGTTGCGGGTGCACCATAGTGGTACACGAGAAGATAGTAACCAGAGAATGTGGAAAGTGTTAGTTGAAGAAGAAATATGGCATGTGAAAGTGGAGTGGAGTGGGGTTTTAATCAACTTTCAAGTTTCAAGGTTCTCACAAATAAATTTATTTTATTTTTGTGTGTGACAAATATTTTGACTTTTTGATATCTAAGACCACAAAGATTGAAAATAATTAACTGAATTCGTATCTAAAACTTTAAAATTTTAAGAGAATCACACTTACAACAAATATTTATTTAAAATAAGAATAAAACTTTATACATATTAACTCGACATAAAAAAAATTTGGTTAATATTGAAATGTAAATGTGAAGATGTTAAGAGAGAGAGAGAGAGAGAGTATCGGGGAGAGAGAAAGGGACAAGAGAGAAAGGTCAAAAATGAAAGGAACTAGAACCAATGCTGAAGGTAATGTTGCTATTGTAAATAGGTTTTAGGGTGAAGCAGGATTTGTTGTTTCTTGTTTTTGTTCTTGTTTGCATTCTTTCCAATACAGACTACCGTTGTGACACATTCACATCAAAGAAAAAAGAGTTATTCCATTCACTAACTTTGAAGATCTAAATCCAAAATGATTTTTAGAGTTTAAAGTCAAGTAGACACAGTAACAAAAAACATGTATCAAATTTAATACTACCTACCTACCTACCTTTTTATAAAGCATGTTTCATGGCCAATATCTCATATGTTCAATCTAAAACTCTATAAATGGACCCCATTACTGCCCAAAATCCTACTTTCAATTATAAATACGAGTACATAATAATTAAATTAATAAAAAAAATGTGTTACTACAAAAATTGACAATTAAAATATGAGTTTGGCAAATGCATTTCCAGCAGCAATGGTTGACCCCCTGTTATCATGGTATTGGACCTCTATAATTTTTTTAACTAATGATCCAAATAAAACTTTGGATTCCAACATTTTTCATGATTTGTTAAAACTATATATATCTTTTAATTAATTTGACTTATATATTGGACTGATTCTACAAATAATCTATTTATGTGTACAAACATTATACTTTAGAAGAAGATAATTTTTACTAATTAAACTTATGTTTAGTTATTACGAGATATATAATTATCCTGATGAAAATCAATGTTTTGTAAAACGACTCGATCGATTGAATTGATCGAATTAAAAATAAAAAACATAATTGATCTAAATTGATTATATAATTAGATAGAGAGACTAACATAAATTGACTAAAATTAAATAATAAAAAATCATTGAAGTTTTAGACACAAATGTTTGCTCTCTTTTCTTTTCTATTAAAAGAAAAAATGTAGTTTAATAATGTATATTTTTTTTAGAAAAAATTAACAAAATTTTAAAATAAAATTTAAAAATTCAAAAATAAAAAATAATAGAAAATAAAAAGTTCGATAATCATGCTTTTATTCTTATTCGCAAATATATATATATATATATATATATATATATATATATATATATATATATATATATATATATATATATATATATATATATATATATATATATATATATATATATATATATATATATATATATATATATATATATATATATATATATATATATATATATATATATATATATATATATATATATATATAATCAATTTAATCTATAATATTTTTGAGATTTTTAAGCATTATTATTATTTTTTAGAATTGTTAAAGAATTAAATTATCTAATTAAACTAAAATTTATATTTATAAAATTTTATTATATTAAAAATGATTTGTGTCAATATTATTATATTCTATCCTAATTAATTATACAGTTTAAGTTAAATTTGACCCCTAACCCCTTTATCCTGTAATCTTTCCGGATAAATAATTGAGCTGACTTTTAAAACATTGATTTTAATAACCTTAGCATATTAATTTAATTTAAAAATTTATATAAAATTGAACTCTTCTCATTTCTTCATATCATTGTTTTATTGTCACAGAAAGTATGTAAAATATAAATTTTCTCTTTTAATTTTAAATAATTAAGAATGATGCATTTTCATTTTCATAATTGTAATCCCATAATTATTTTGATTTTCTTTTTATACGAATTAAAGTTCAAAAACCTCTTAACATGTACAGATATTTTTCTCTGGTATGATATATATAGATATCTTTACATGCAGAGAAAATCTACTTATCTGGCTTATAGTGATGATTACATATCCTTCTTTTCTTTCTTTTTGGACAAAATACTTGATGTACTCGTAGAATAATGCAACAAAAATAGTACTCATAATTAATGTGATATTGCTAGCTATTAATATTTGCATGTTAGATGATAAAGAAAGATGCTTGCACTTACATAAAGACAACAACAAGAATTTTTATTTCTCATTCTGTTAGGGTTGGCAATTGAGTACCAACAGTGCATTTTACAAACAAAAAGAGAAAGCATTGAACCAACCAAAACTACATTGAATGTTTGCCTATGAATCGTCACAATAAATGGCAACAAAAGTGATGTGAACAATGCTCCACCAAAGTATAGTCTATATACTTTTTTTCCTTCCTTGGCTAGGCAAAATTAATTTGAAAAATGTGACATTACAGCTGGAAAGCAAATTTCACTTGAAAATTTTGATGAGTGAAAAAAATGTAGAATTATTTGTTAATAAGAAACACAAATATAGATGATAGTGAAAGAAATACATAAAAGTTTTGTTCACGTAGTTCAATTAAATTATTTACGTTCGCAACTATAGAGTAATTGTAGTTTCTTTTATTTATGTCTTATGAATTGCATTTAGTTACAGTGTTACAAATCATACATATAATATTGAGTTACTTGCAAAATCAGCTAGTCGACCTTAGAACATATGTGTATAAATTTTTAAAAGAGTGTTTGATTGTTTGTTGTAAATGTATCATAGATTCTAACTTTGTAAAGAAATAAAGATAAAAACTTGTAAAGGAAAATAGGAGATTTCGACTATAGATTCTTATAAAATTAAAGATAAAGTACATTATTTCCTAGTTTCGCTCAACAAACCATTATCTCTGCTCATAATTATCTCAACGATATGAGTTATACTCTCAACATCCTATAGTTATCTCAATAACCCATAATTATCTCAACAATGAGTTATACTCTCAACAATCCATAGTTATCTCAACAACCCATAATTATCTCACTAATATGAGTCATATTCAACAATCTCCGACTCAGCGAACATCAAACATATATGAGGATTTCCTACATAATGATTCATCCTAGAAACTAGGGAGGTACACCTCCTGCTTAACACTAAGAAACACGTAACAAGTCCAAACAGTGTTTGAACTTGTCAATGGTGACTAGCTTAGTCAAGATGTCAGCTGCATTCTCTGAAGTGTGAACCTTCTAAAGTAATATATGTCTAGACGCCAATAATTCCCCGATCTTGTAGAACCTCACATCAATATGCTTGATCCTAGCATGATACACCTGATTGTTTGTCAATTAGATAGTTGTCTGACTATCACAATACAACTGAACTCCACTTTGCTCAACACATAACTCTTTCACAACCCTATAAGCCACAATGGTTCCTTAGCAACTTCAACTACTGCCATGTATTATGTCTCAGTTGTAAACATAAATACTCTGGTTTGAACCATTGATTTCCAGCATATAGGACCCCCGCAAGAGTAAAGACATACCCTGTTGTAAACCTCCTATCATCCAGAATTACATATCACCTGCATAGTCATAATCCACATACAACTGATGCAATACTCTGCTTCATGTTGAACATGATACCACAATCCGTTGTACCCTTTAAGTACCTTAGAATCCACTTGTCTGCTTCCTAATGTTGCTTCTCTGGCTTGGACATGAACTTGCACAATTGACTAACTACTTGTGCCAAATCCAATCTAGTGCAAACCATAACATACATCAAATAACCAATTGTGGTGACATAAGGAATTTTAGACATATCTTCAATCTCTGAGTCTATCTTTAGACGTTGTTCCAAAGAGAGCTTAAACTGATTTGCCAATGGAGTACTAACAGGATTTGCTTTACTCATGTTAAATCTCCTCAAAACACCTCCAACATAGCTTTTCTGAGACATAATTTATTATCTCCTCTGTCCCTATGAATTCCCATCCCAAGAATATTCTTTGCATCACCCAGATCCTTCATATCAAACTCCTTCCCCAACTTGGTCTTCAACTCATTTACATCACACAAATGATTGGCAACAATTAACATATCATCAACATAAAGTAACATGAAAATAAAAGCGCCGTCATCAAGGCTCATCACATAAGCACAACAATCATAATTGTACTTCTATAGCCAATATGAAACATGTATGAATCAAAATGCTTGGAGACTGCTTTAAATCATACAAAGACCTCTTCAATTTGCAAACAAGCCTGTCATGGCTTGTATCACTGAATCCTTCTGGCTGATCCATGTAGATTTGCTCCTTTAGATTACCATGGAGGAAACTTGTTTTCACATTCATTTGCTATAAATGCATATTCCTGGTAGCTACCAGGGCCAATAATGCTCAGATAGAAGTGTGCCTAACGACCAGAAAGAAAATATCATCATAATCAACCCCCTTTATGATGTGAATACCTCTTTGCAACTATGCAAACTTTGAACTTTTCCCCTTCTTTTTATGTTACTACTGGTTTTTTCTTGTACACCCACTTGCAACCAATAACTTTCTTTTCTTCTGGAAGCTGAACAAGTTCTCATGTCTCATTCTTTTTAAAGGACTCTGTCTCCTTTACCATAACACCCATCTGCTTATCTTTCTCATGGCTAACCATAACCTCTCGAATGGTAGAAGGGTCTCCTGAACTGATAAGAAGAGCATAAGTTGCTAAGTCTTCAAACCCATATCTCACTGGAGGTGTAATACAACAGGGCTTCATATCATACACAAGTGTATAATCTTGTACTCCACATGAATCTAGCACTTCACCTGAATCTGAGCTTGGTTCATCCTGCTGTTGGGCTACAACCTGC